GCCGGCCACAGCCCACCGTCCGGTGCGTGTCCCTGCGGACCCTGCGTGGGCGTGCGGGACGCGGGGGCTACGGCTGAGACAACCCCCTGTCTTATCTTATGCACAAACAGCTGCTCTTACCTTGCTGGCGGGCTTCCAGCTCTTTTATTTCCAGGTCATGGGTGAGCTCTGGAAGAGAAATTAACCAGGACTGAGCAGGAGTGTCCCCGCACCCCGCGCTCCCTGTGCCCTGCTCCCCGCGGCACCTCACAGCACCAGCCACAGCCTGAGCCAAAACCAGAGGATTCCAGCAATTTACACGTTATTAAGCAGCTTTGGCTTCTGGCACCTGCAACATGGCCACGGCAGCACCCGCGGGTCCCGCCCCACGGAGCAGGGACAGCTTATATTTGTCCAGCTCTGCCTTTTCTTTCCCCGAGAGAGTTGCCAGACCATCTTCAGCGCTTTAAATCAGGACAAACAGCAGAGCAATGGACTGAAAATAGACCAAAGTGTAAGCTGCCACCCAAAGTATTTCCCAAGTTACTGCTTCCAGGCTGCTTTCTGCCCCTGCCCGTGACGCCAGCAGGGCGGCCTCACCCCAGCACTGTGTGTCCACAGGGTGCTCCCCTGCTCTGGGTCACTGTGAACCTTTACAGACAATTCCTTTTGAATTAATTCTCACAGCCCACCAAACGCCAGCATCTCTGGGAGGAGGAGGAGAAGGGCAGCAGCAACATTCAGTTGTTTTGGGACTTTTCCTAACCCCTAAAAATGAGTTCAAAGGGTTAATCTTTGCCCTACATTTTTCTTTTAATCTGCTTTCGTGTTGAGTCTAATCCTCATCACTGCCACCCTTCTGAAATGAAATACTTGTCTCAGGCTGCTCTGCCTGTCTGGCTGGGAAAACAAATCTGTGGTGGGAAGGCAGAGGTAACCGAGGCCGTGGTGCAGGTTCTGAAGAGCTCTCAGTGCTCCCCACTGCCCCATTGGAGATCAGTGGCCACTGTGTTATTATTCTGAAACAAAAATCATAGGTTTGGAGTCTAAGGTATATTTCAAATGGAAAGTAAAGCAGTCACCCACTTCCAAATAAGACATTGCCCTGCTGAGAGAGACCAGGGCTGGAGAATGGTCCACGACCTGGTGTCCCAGCTCCAGGAGCCACAGGGGCTGGTGGGAACTTGCCCCGGTACAGTTGCCATGACCACAGAGGGGTAAATCCAGCGGAGAGCACCAGCTCTTGCTGCAGCCCAGCAGCCCTCAGTCTTGGAAGCTACTGGGACATTGGATACAGCCAGTGGGAACTACTGTGGGTCCGGGGGCAGCAAACCTGGGCAATTATTTACTGCATTACGGTCCCTTCTGAACATGGCTGCTCTGCTGCTGGATCCAGCCTGGATCCAAAGCACTGGAGAGGCTGCAGATGAAGCCATTAGCAAAAAAAAACAACAACAATGAGAACAGCAAAAGCTTGGAAAGAATGGAGCAAAACAGATAATTCTGTCAATGCAGAAATGTCTTCGTTTCCCAGGAATCAGGGAGGATGAGAGGCTGGAAGACAAGGAGTAATTAGCTATGGCTGAATTATTAATGAGAGTGATGGCACAAGTTGGGATGAGTTTTGGTGGCAGCAGGAGGCCAGGGAACCACTGCTGCTGTACAGCTGGCCCAAGGGGAGGGTGACATTGCTGCAGCAGGGCCATGAGCAGGGGCTGCAGCTCTGTGCCCACAGTGGGGCAGGTCCCTGAGTCCCAAACCGGGCTGGTGCTGCACTCCTTGGGGGCCAGGGATGGACAGACCCCAAGTGGCTGCTGCAGGGTCTGTGAGACCCTTCCCAGGGGGCCAGGCTCCTGGTGACAGGCTCTGTGTGAGGGGTGCTGAGGATGCTTGGTGGAGACCCCTCCTCCAGGGCAACCAGGGGCGGGGCTGGAGCTGTGCTGGTGCTGCTGGTGTTAGTGCTCATGGGGCACTGCAGCAGCAAGGCATGGCAAGGGGGCACCAGCACCAGCAGCAGTGCTGGACTGCAGTGGGCTGGGCCAGCAGGAAGGGAAGGGATTTCACCCCTCCACGTGCAAAAGAGTAAAGAGTGACAAAACGTAAACAAGGAAACCTCATTTCCTCCTGTCCTGGAAGTGTCCCCATTATTCACAGCATTCAGCTCTCTTCCTTCCTAAATTTAACCCACTGGCATCTGGGAGAAGTATCTGGGAGAAATGATGTATTGCTTTTAATGATCAAAACACCTTTGTGGGCACAGATCCTGTGAGGAAAAGCCATGGATTTTCCATGAGACCATCTTGCTGGGTTTTTCCCTTCCCTTATGCCAGTGAATCCCTTGGAATAGCAACTACTGCAGCCAAACTCCTGCGAGGTGCAGGAACTCACAGCCCAGGAGGGAGCTGAGCTACCACAGCTAATCCTCCTTCAGAAGTGTGCCCTGAGCACGGCTGAGAACAAAGGGAGAGGGGTTTAATGAGGGATTATCAGCACAGACTCCTGTCTTATCCCCTCCTGGCCAGCTGATGCCTAGGGA